TGATTTTCATAGACACTGAATTGTACTTAATGGAATGTCTTGACTGAAATGTTTTCAACTGGAGAATAAAGCCAGGTTTTGAAATTGAACCCCGATAGGTGGACCCAAACTGGCTTGTTCGGGTTGTATTTTATTCAGAAAGTAAAGTTTGGGATGGAAAGGTGACATAACTGAGTGCATGTTTAAGGTATTTGTTGTTACTATTAACTGAGGGGTTAAACCAAGATGTTGAGGATCAAGTAGCTGAGAAAAGTTAATGCAGATAATGCAGGTTTATGGTGTATATAGTCCTATAAAGTCAAGCCAAGTTAAATGTGAAGATTGATGGGCAATTGGGCATACATTCTGTTAACAGCAAGAGAAAGAATATGGAAACATACAGTTCATTGAAGGAAGAGAAATCTTAATGCCTCCACTTCCTACATAAAATTCAATGGCCTTAAGCAGGAATTATCTCCATGTATCTGAAGAATGCAGGCAATTACGGTACTTTACTTCAACGAAATTGCTCTTTATTTTCACTCCGAATTGCACAAGTTCTCGGATGGGAAATATACACATTTCTTTCTCAATCTGAATTTGCATTTGGATTTCCTTGCACAACATTGCTAGCCTAGTCCAACCAGCTGAAAAAAGAGTGGGTTGTTGCTGTGACCGAGAAACAGGCCCACAGACCTGTTCAGGTGCATTCATTGTGGGCCCCTCCTGGTAATCTTCATGCATCTGGAAGAAAGTGGGATCGCCCAAAGTATACGTTTCATATTGGGCCCGGAAACGCCTGTTGAGAGTTCTGCCGAGGCAATTCAGGCCAGAAGACATGTGAGATCCCCTGCAAGATGAAGGATCCTACTGAGCACCGAAGACAGATGTGCAAGTTTGTCAATCGTTTGAGCCCAAAGCAAGGGTTGAAGGGAGCTGCTGCCCAGAGCACAACCTCTGAGCTGACCGCTCCCTGTCCCACAGGAGAAGGACTGTGAATAAGACGGGTCGATGTTTAGAGTGGTTCTGCAGTGGCTAGTCTATACACTGGGCCTCTCTTCCTGGCTGCCAAGATTCCCTTGACCCCACTTCCTCAAAAAGAACTATTACACTAGCTACACTGAATACTCGTGCCTACACTTCACTGAAGTGTATTTCCTCATGGGGAGGGTCTAAGCAGTAAGTCATGGAGCGTGAGGTCAACCCAAACTCTATCTCTGCACTGGTCTTGGTGTTGGGTGGATACGCATTGCCTCTCCTCTGGCAATGGCAACGGTAGTGGGATTGTTGTCAGAGATCAAGATCTCCTACCTGAGTGATGGTCCTAGGGAAAAGGCTGCCTTGATCTCCAACAGGGTCATTGGAATTGGACTCCACACTGTGACAGAGAATAACTTCTCCTCCATCTGCAATATAACTGGCCCTATGTCAAAGGTCCCAGTGCCTTTCCAGCATTGGCTGGCTTGCGTCAGAGTCAGCAAAAGGTCTCATGATAAGCAATACTTCCCATCCCTTCTTCTGGCCTTCCACCTTTGCCTGTGCTGATAGGCTGAGATGGCAGGAATCGGAGCCACATATCTGGCCTATACAGTGGTACCTCGGTTCTTGAACGTAAGCCATTCTGGAAGACTGTTCGAGTTCCGAAACATTCGAAAATCGAAGCGCAAAGGACCGCCTGCAAATTCAATTGAGAAAATTGAAAAACATGCAGCGGAAACCGTTCGACTTTCAAGGCGTTTTTGAAAACAGAAGCATTTGCTTCCGGGTTTTCGCCGTTCGGGTTCTGAAATATTCGTCAACGGGGACGTTCGAGAACCGAGGTACCACTGTACTTGAGTTTTCACTGCTTGGGGTCCATTTCGTGTATGTGTTCAATATACAGTGGTACCTCGGGTTACATATGCTTCAGGTTACATACGCTTCAGGTTACACACTTCTCTAACCCAGAAATAGTCCTTCAAGTTAAGAACTTTGCTCCAAGATAAGAACAGAAATTGGGCTCCGGCGGCGCGGCGGCAGCAGGAGGCCCCATTAGCTAAAGTGGTGCTTCAGGTTAAGAACAGTTTCAGGGTAAGAACAGACCTCCGGAACGGATTAAGTACTTAACTCGAGGTACCACTGTATTTTGCATTTGTTGAATCTTTAATGCAAGGATTTTGGGAACATGTCCTGCTGTTGTGTGGGATGTGGTTGTGGCGAGTGTGATCCCTGTTGTGTGGGATGTGGTTGTGCGAGTGTGATTCAAGGTGCCCATTGGAGAGCTGTTGTGACACGTCTGGAAAGACCACGGTTCAGTGGCTGAACACACAGGGTGGTACCCAGCTAACTTGTTCCTTCAGCTCAGGGAATTCTGCTTGTGCAACAGGATGTTAGGGTTAGGCCTCTCCACCTTTGCACACACCCCTAAAACAGTTCTGGAGGTTCCCTCAGCCCTCTAGAGCAGATATGGGGATGATGTGGAGCATGAGCAGGGAAAGAGCAGAGCAAGTTCCTTGTGATGAAAGCACATTAGTTGGATGCCATCCATGCTCTCCATACAGAAGGTTCCAGGTTCAATTCCCTAACATCTCCAGTTTAAAAAAGAAATGTCGGAGGGTATAACAGAGTGTTTTGTAAGACTTCACCATTTTTGCCCAGCTTAATTTCTGCTTCCAAGCAGCCACATAACTTACATATATCTCAGCCAGTCTGCTCCCAGTCAGAAATGAAGGATCAAGAAGACTTTCCCCAGAGTCTGTCATTTATTTGGTGACAAGCCAGAGCATGTAAAACTATTGAGTATCTTAAGCAGCATTCCTGTTTTCCAGTTTTTCCAGACAGACTAATTTGAATGCCATGGAGTCAGAGTATCGATGGGTGCACACAGACTAATTTGAGTAGCAAAACACTTTGGAAGAACGTTTGGCTTCATGTTGGACCAACAATTTTGTGCCTGGGACTGAACTTAATTGGAACTGGTTCTGTTAGTTCGCTGCCGAAGCTGTCAGTGAACAGCACAGATTGGATTGGTCTCTGTGTCGTGACAAAATGCCTCCCCCTGTCCATTCGCCAGAGCAACATTTGCAATAATAAAAAGGAGTTGCTGGGCACTTTTAATAATAAGAAGAAGTTAATGGATGAATGTTTGTCTAACTGAATAAATGTAAATAAACAAAATGCCCATCTGAAACATGAGGAGAGTCTCAAGTCTGAGGACTGAATCAGGCATGCAACTACACATATATTATGTGTGTGAGAGTCTGTGTGTCATTGGTATTCTGACAATTAGTGTGGGGAGACAGACTCACTACCTAAGAGAAACAGAAGCACTAACTCCTGTTTTTAAAGTGCATTTGGGTGCATTATAATTAGAACAGAATCAAGTATATCAACTTTATGAGTCAGATGAAAATGGTTTCAAAAGAGCTCTAACTCAGGGCTTAAACTGGGAATGCCAATTACTTACTCACTATATTGCCATGACAGCTCACAGGAGTTGGAATTGCAGGTGTTAGTAGAACTCTTTTACCTAGGAAGTCAGGTGACTTGTGGATATCCAATCAACTTCCTCCTGCCTTCTCTTACATGACCTCTGAGAATTCCTGAGCAATTTTTGATACACTTTTAGGAAACACGACACATGGCCGGCCCTCCTTTGCAGCAAGAATGAAACTAAATATTTATTATTCTTATTTATAATTTTCATTTATGAGAAACATTTCAAACAGAATCATCTTTACATATCATATTTCGACTTCCCTCTCCCTCCTTCTGTGGTTCCTTATATTTACTCTATTTTCCTACATATCTCAATTTAAATCTATTTTATATCCATCCATTTCTCTCTTTTTTTAAAAAAAATTTGCACATTTTACATTAATCATGCTAATGTCTTAATTTGTTTACGATGAATTTGAAAATATTCAATAAATGATTTCCATTCCTCCTTAAAGACTTTGTTATCTTGATTTCTTATTCTTCCAGTAAGTTTGGCCATTTCTGCATTTTCCGTTAGTTTCTGTAGCCATTCTTCTTTCGACAGGATGTCTTCCTCTTTCCATCTTTGGGCAAATACCATTCTTGCAGCAGTGGTTGCATACATAGATAAAATTTTATGGTGCTTAGGTAACTCCAATCCCATAATTCCTAAAAGAAAAGCTTCTGGGGTGTTTTTTTGTTTGTTTACAAAAGCTATCTTAAACCTCTTTTTCAATTCATTATGTATCATTTCCCAGTAAGCTTTTATGGAAAAAGGTACCTTTATTCTCTTTATATTTCCAACACCTACTCGATTTTAATTTGTATATTTTAGCTAATTTACCAGGTGTGAGATGCCATCTATATACAGCAGTGTTTCCCAACCTTTTTTGGGCAAAGGCACACCTTTGATGAAAAAAATCTCGAGGCACACCACCATTACAACCCCGTGACGTCAGCGCGCAGCGTCACGCCGGGAGGGACGCACGAAACTTTATTTGACATGCTCAGACCATTCCCCTTTTTGTGGGGAGTCTTAGTACAGCTCACGCACCTGGCAGGATGACGACTCGCCAGTTCGACCCATTTCGGTCATTTTTGAAGGGGTGCTTGATTCCCCTTTGCTACTATCTCCTCCACAGTGACAGCTTACGATTAATATAGGCTAGAATTTAAAATAGGGGGCGGTACATATATATTTCGACAATAATAACGTAAGTAAAAGGACGCGATGACGATACCGCTATTCACGACACTACTTTCACCTCCGCCCTCCCTCTGGGACGGTCCATCCTACCCCACCTAAGGGCGGGCTTAATGCGGGGCCTCGAGGGGTGTGGGGTGTGAAGCGAGCGTACCTCAAGACCGAAACGCCTAATTCCTAAGGGGAAAGCATAACTGGGCGTTAACCGATCGCAAACCCTGTCCTAGCCCATTAACATAGGAAATAAACATATACAACGCGGCAAGACACCGGTTTTGGAATCCGTTCCTTCCCCCTCTCGTCTGCCGAGTTGGTCCCTGCCCCTCTCGCGAGACTCGCCGCCGGGTCCGCTCTCGCGCACATGGCCCGGCGAGAGGGCGCCTCCCCTGCGCATGCGCCTGCGCGCTCTGTGCCCCCTCCCTCCCCCTTTTCGGCCCAGCGCGCCGCTTTGCCTGTTCGTGCGCCGCGCGTGTGAGGCGAGCGGGAAGGCCGCGTAGCCCCCCATGCAGGAGACCCAGGAGAGCCCGGCGGCCGCCGAGACCCCCGCCGCTCTGCCCGCCCAGGACGAGGGGCCCGGAGGAGGAGGAGGAGAGCCCGGCGGCGGTAGCGGAGGAGAAAGAGGCGGCGGCGGCAGCAGCAGCGGCGACTCGGAGGCCGAGCTGCCGGACGGGCCTTCCGCGGAGGAGCCTGAGGGGAAGAAGGAGCCGGAGCCCGAAAAAGGCGGCGGCGAGGAGAAGGAGGAGGCGGAGGAGGAGAAGCCGCGAAGCAGCAGCGGCGAGGAAGAGGAGGCCGCTGGTGAGCGTCGGGAGCAGCCGCAACCGTCTTCGCCTCCGGCCGCTGGGCCGCCTTCGCCGCCTCAGGAGCCGCCCGAGATTGCCGCTGTAGCCGCCGCCGCAGAGGAGCCGCCGGAGCGGCACACCAGGAAACATCTCGCGGCACACTAGTGTGCCGCGGAACACCGGTTGGGAAACACTGATATACAGTAAAGTTTTCATATATCTTTTTCTTAAACCATAACATGCTGCAAACTAAATAAACCCAGCCAACAATATACGACTGAAGATGAAAATGTGAATGAACAGTTTGCTACCTAAGTAGCTAAATGAAGAACAGACACAAACATGCTTCATTCCACCAGCTACACCCACAACCTACATTTAAAGAGCATTGCTCTCTCCCCACCAAAGGATCCTGGGAAATCATGGGTGTAGCCAAGGGTGAGGACAAGGAGGGGCAGCTGCCCCCCAATCAATAAAAATACATAGCAAATTGAAGTTCTGCCCCCCCTAACAAAAGGCCTGGCCCCTAACAAAAAACCTTGCTACTCCCAAGTGCGAAATGTTAAGAATGCTGGGAATTGTAGTGCTCTGAGGGGTAAACCACACTTCCCATGATTCTCTGGGGGAAGCAATGTGCTTTAAATTCCTGGTGGGGTTGTGACTTTCCATCATTCTTTCTACTGCTTCCCCTACCCTCCAGTTCCAAAGTTTTCTTTCCAGACAGAGAACTATTTCCTCAACTGTTTCCTTAAGGCATTAGAGGGTTAATTCCCAAAAGGGTTTCTCCCCACCTGCTTCCCTTCAGAACAGCACCCCATAATTTGGTAATTACAGATAGCAGTGCCCTTCAGCAATTCAACCTAGCAGTCTAAAGTTTCTTTCGGATTGCCTCATGGATTTTACCAGCTAACATGACTGTCTCAAGCAGCTGTTTATTTAAAGAAAAGAGTTTCAAAGATGATGTCTGCATATTTCTTACAGACACTAGGTTAATTCCCTAATATTTCAAAGATTCCCCACCTCCCTGTTTTAAGGGAGTACGTGTGACACCCTTATTCTGTGGCAAGTACAAGATATAATGCCCTCTGGCATTTAAACCAGAACTATAAACCGCCTCTATGGTTATAGGTTGCCTTAATAAACTATTGTGTTGATTAGTTCTGTTTGTCAGGCAAGTTCAGAAAAAGTCAACTGTTTCTTAATTCATTGAGTATGGGCTTCATATGACTGGGGGTGGGGCAGGGAGATTAGCAACATGGGATTAAATAATAACAATGCATAGCTTTAACAATATATACTATTATTGCTGAAACTTAACCAAGATCCATAGAGCTGAATTTATGCACACAGTATGCCATTCTTGGTCTGCTATGCTACTCTATTTGGACCATGAGGCCATTTTGGGCAAGCCTGCCTCTTGGCATTTTCAGGTCTTTAAAAGTGGGAGATATATACTAGAGCTCATACATTATCTGGTGAAACTTAGTTTGGATTGATAAAGTTGGTGAGGTCCAGTAGAAGCCGAAACAGCACTGTACTTTGGGTTTTTGCGGGTTTGAGCAACTGACGACAAAAGATACTGACTCGTTCCTCTTGTCCTTAGGTCTCCCTCTTGTAATACAGAAATACTATCGAGCTTTTTCACATACTAAATACGCAAGCAAGGTCCAGTTTGAATAGGTAAGGTTTGCTTATCAAAAGTGCTACGTCCATAATAAAATTACTTTTACTAATATAATCATAATCAAGCAAATAACTGAATATAATGAAGTTGCATACTCTTATTACCATTACCATTTAACTGAATTAAATATTCTTTGTACATTGGTGTCAGCCATGGTTCCTCCACCTTCTTATAAATAACTTTATTCCCTTTCTTCAGATGGAGAAGTATTATTCCTTCGTGGTCATTTTTTGTGCTGTCTTCCTGCCCAAGGCCCTTGGGTTTCCATACAAAGATGTTTCAATAGATTGTTTCTCCATGTTGCCGAATTGTGGAGGAGGACCACAGACATCAACTCCACCTTATGTCGTCTCTGTATCATTTGATAGATACGATCCAGGAAATGAAATACAAGGTACATTACATAACATGCTAACATTATGGATCAGAGTAGGGATGGTGGAGAAATGTGATTCCGTTCATTTAAAAAAAGCAAAACCACAAAATTTGTACTTCCAGAACTGCTCTTTCATGTATATGCGATTTTATATTATTTTACCTTGCCTTGAGCTTTTAAATTTTGTAATTGGTGTTTTTTTTAAAATTTTTATACTGGTCATTGACCGTAATAAAATAAAATGCACTTCCAGAACAATTCAAGAACCAAAACACAGCCATTCATCAAAATTCACACTTCTCCAAATTTTCTAGTTAAGTACGTAATTGCAGCTTTCTGGTTAAGTAATGTGTCGAAAAATCATGTATTAGAGCATATATTAGTGAAAATGCACTATATTAGACAAAAATGTACTGGATCGGGGAATTCCTTAAATGGGAAGGTTCTACAGCTAGATTATTGTACCGTTTTGTTATTTCAAGTTAGGTTAGGTAGCAAAATATATTTCAGGATTCTGCGGTGGAGTCCAGTTGTTTGAATGCTGTAATTCCACAGTGCAGAAAAACACAGGAGGAGTTACCGAGCAGAGAATTTGAGCTTCTTCCTGGGTATTTAAACTCAAATTTGAAATGGAAATGGAAATAAATGCTGATGCATGTGGTCTGTTCATGAGAGCGGTGTTTCTTTGATGTAATGAACTCACAGAAGACACACTGGAGATGAGAACATATCTGATTCCTGAAGCTATTCAGAGGCGATGGCTATTCACTGCCATGGATGTAAATCATCCTGGCTTTCCAAATGCTGCAATCACTTAGCCAGTAAAGTTTCTGACTGAGACAAACCTGCTCTGCAAAAATGAAGGACCCAAGCGATCAAAGGGGGGGAAATTCTGATGCGTAGTTTAACTCTGTTAAAAGTCATTAGATTAAATTTATCTGTTGGTTTCCCCCAGTGACTCTAGAAGGAACGTCGTCTGCTGGATTCACAGCATTTATGGTACAGGCTCGGGAAATTGATGGCAACGTTCCCATTGGCATGTTTCGCATCAGGGATCCAAATACGCAAGGCTACCCATGTGCCAACATGACGGTATGTGTTCATTTAACATGAGAAATTGCTTTCTTGATGGTGCCAGAGTGGTATTCATTAGCCTCAAAACAGAATGTATCATCACTCTGTTTCTTCCTTTTCTTTAAAAATACGGAAGATGTACCATATTTTTCCGTGTATTGGATGAGGGTTTTTTGACTCAAAAATCATGTCAAAAAACGGGGGTCCTCCAATACATGGATAGTGGCATGGGGGGCGGGGAGATGTGGGGCGCCACCAGCCATTTGGTTGGCTGGAGCGCGGCTTCCCCCGATGCCACAGTGAGCGGGGAGCGATCTGGGGGGTGTTTCCTGCCCACAGCTGACTGGGCGGACAGGCTGAACAACTTTGGGCCATCTCTCCTTATTTTTTTAAAACTGAGTCCCCCAAAATAGGGGGGGTCTTATACATGGAGGCGTCTTATAGATGGAAAAATATGGTATCCGTCTTCCTCCTTTTTCATAACCAAACTATTTGTGATAGGCAAGGCAGTTTTCCGCCAGGGCATCTGCCAAGGACACAAGTGTTTATAGAGCTGGGATAAATTTGCTTCTCAAAATTTTCCTGTGTGGATTTTAATGGCAAATATTCTTGAAAACTGAATATCCAGCACATATTTGATATTTAATGGTGGCATTGTGCATACATTGGTTTTGATGGTATCTAGTAGCTGAAATGCGATAGCAGTCAATGTTTGCTGGCACCTGACATTTAGTGGTCAGTACCTGGTGCTATCCTACAGGTGGCTTGCAATTAGGGAACATTCTGGAAGCACCTTCTTAAATAGATAAATACTCACAGCCAAAATTTTATGAAACTTTGAGTTAATATCAACACTAGAAGCCGAGTTGAAAAGTGTGAAAATCAATTTCATGTTTTCAGATTTAAATGCTGCTGAAAAGTCATTCAACTGTAAGAGTAGCCTAGGCTGTAATCCTGTACCAGTGTTTTCCTGGGAGTAAGTCCCATTGAACTTAATGGGACCTACTTTTGAATAGACATGGATAGGACTGCACTTTTAGAACACAATTCTACACACATCGGCTCAGAAAAAAGTCCTGTTGAGTTCAGTGGGGTTACTCCCAATCTCGGGTAAGTAGCTATAGGACTGCAGCCTTAATTAGTGATCTCGTTTCAACTATAGCATGAGGAACAATTTACCTCAAATATTGTTTTTGAGCTGTGTTTGTTTGCTTTTGTTTTTACTTGTGTGTCTGGATTCTGTTTCATTTGCCTTCTCCTTTCAGAATTCAGCAGTAAGTCACACGAGTCCCAGCGTAAAACGCAAAGTCACAACTACTTGGGTTGCTCCTCAGGGTACGAATAAGATTCGCCTTATGTAAGTTGTGGATTTCTTGCTATGCAATATTTATCGAGGGACTTTAGTTCTTCTTTGAAAAAGCAACAAAATATATCAAGGTTGCATGTGTGGTCATATATTTGGAAATCACAAATGTTTATGCAGGCAGGTGCACGACCTTCGTGGTAGTGGCACCTTCCTTGTGGAATGCCTTCCCTTTAGATGTCAAGGAGATAAAGAACTACATAACTTTTAGAAGACATCTGAAGGCGGCCCTGTATCAGGAAGTTTTTAATGTTTGATTATTATTATTATTATTATTATTATTATTATTATTATTATTATTTATACCCTGCCCATCTGGCTGGGTTTCCCCAGCCACTCTGGGCAGCTCCCAACAAAATATTTAAAATAGAATCAAACATTAAAAACTTCCCTAAAGGAAGGGCTGCCTTCAGATGTCTTCTAAAAGTTAGATAGTTGTTTATTTTCTTGACATCTGATGGGAGGGTGTTCCACAGGGCGGGCGCCACTACAGAGAAGGCCCGCTGCCTGTAACCTCACATCTTGCAGTGAGGGAACCGCCAGAAGCCCCTCGGTGCTGGACCTCAGTCTAATACATAGTGATGTATTACTATGTTTTTATATATGCTGTAACCCGCCCAGAGTAGCTGGGGAAATAGATAATTCTGGACTGAAAAGTATAATGCAAATTCCCCCGAGAGAAAAATCTTATGTATAATATATATGATATATATATATGTATATATATATAATATCTCATTAGAGAAAAGCCTCCACACTAGAAATAGCGATGATTTCTTGGTGTTTTTTCTCCCCTCTCAGGGCTACTTTTCTTCAAGATTATGATACCTATTGGGTTGGCGTTCATAGCAAAACTCTCTCACCCAGATTTTCAGAAGTGGCTAATATTTCCAAACCCATCAATGATTCCACACCCATCAATGCTTCCAAACCCATCAGTGATTCCAAACCCATCAATGTTTCATTGGCAGCCAATAGCTCAGACCTAGCCAATGATTCTGTGGCATCAACGGTTTCTGATATTACTGATGATTCTGAGGAGTACGATGATGATTTTGATTTCAACACCCTCCTTGGTGACACTGAGGCAGTTTATGACAATGAGATACCTGTTGATTCTGAGGCGACGCCGGACAGAACAGAAAATGCCACAGAAAAGAGCAAGAGGAAGGTATTTGTGAAATACTTATTACAAACCAAAGGAGGGGCGTAATTCAACTGAACAGAACAAGTGCATGTTTTTCAAACACTTGATCACGAATGTTGGAATATGACCCACCATTATGTTCCTTTAGCAGCGTGGTTGTATCTTCTGCATGGCTGCTTCTTGCCACATCACTCCACTAACTTAAGAAATGGAGAAGACCCTTTAGAAGGGATTCATTTATTCAGAATCAGATGCCAGTCTGTCAGAATTCCTGCTGAGGTTGCAACACTGGAACAGGCAGTAACAAAAGTCAAATTTTATGATTTTTCTAGCACATATTTTATTGGAACAGTATAAGATATGGCTACATTCTAGGAACTGGTAACATTATTAATAGGATCTTAAGAACCTTTATTTTGAGTGATTTCAAGCATCCAGTTTGCCCCTGCTCTCAGGTGGCGGGTATTACATATATCATGGAGCAGAGATGCGGGGGTGGGGCACAAAATTAAATCAGTTCACACTTAAATGTAAGCCTATAAAAGTTGCACTTGCCAAACCAATATGCAAACTAAAACACAGTACTCTTCTAAAGTTCTCATTTCTCTGATGCAGTCCTCCAACCGACGAATGCAAGCAGAAATTTGTATGTAATTGAAAAGTGCACACAAGAATGTTTATCAGTCGAAATCATGTTCAAAATTGCATTGTGTTGGGGGGGGGCAGGAATTGCTTGCAAAAATTAATACTGTAAATGTTAGGAGAAAAACACAGGAAAATGCAAACAAATGTGCACACAAGCTTTTTTTCCTTAATTGCAAATTTATGTGGAAAGGTGGCAAACCAAACTTAAGACTGAGAAAAAGATAAACTGAAAATGATGGGATTTATGCATCCTCACCACCGAGGTGCCACAATAAACAGTACCCCCATGAATGAGTGTGTGGATTTATGAGTGGGATAAAAAACACCTCGGATCGATTGATTGATCAATCAATCAATCAATCAATCAATCAATCAATAATGGAACATATAACAGGAATGCTATCTTCGCTAGCATCCCTGTGGTGATTGTATTCCTACTCCAGTAGCCGGCAGTTAGCTAGTGATTGCAGTATTAGTTAGTTTCCCATTGGTGGGCGATTATCCAGGTTGGCAAGTGGCTGGTGATGCATGAAGAATCATCAGTTGATGCTGCAGATTTCAAATGCTGCTAAAATGAAGGGCTAATAACATGGTGGAATTGTTGTAAGCAGATCCACCCTTACAGAACCACCAGGTATTCCTTCACAGCTTTGCAACAATTTATTAGGTACAGTCCCTACTTTACAAAGCGGTATCTCTTTTCTTTTCAGTCCATTCTGACTGTGAATGTCAACTGTGGCGAGGTAAGAACCTTTTTAAAAAAAGATTCCTCAGTGTTTCCCTCAGTGTCAAGATCTTTTTAAGATGCTTATATATTTACTGTGTCTGTAAGCTCACCCATAATAATAATAATAATAATAATAATAATAATAATAATAATAATATCTTTATTGTCATTGCCTCCTCTCGGGGACAACGAAATTACTTAATATAAAGTTCTCTGGGTGGTTTACCCTAAATAAGTATAAACACAATGGGAATACAAGGTAAAATAAAATCTTACCATTTAATGAAAAGCAACAAGAAAACAAAACTCTCCACAACCCCAAAGTTGAAGCACAAATTTAAAAACTGAGAGAACCAGCTATGTAAGTTATTTAAAACATTTGGATAAACAGAAAGGGCTAAAAGGGGTGGCACAAGGCGAAACTCTCTGGGAAGACTGTTCCGTAAGTGGGGTACGCCCATCTGCCCCACCTTCATCTGCCCCAGCTGCAACAAAACATGTCTCTCCTGCATTGGTCTCTACAGCCACACCAGGAGTTGCAACCATCCAACAGCTTGACCTCACCCCCAAAGGCACACTCCTACACCCTCCTTTGTCTCCCGAGACAGACGGATGCCAACCAGTACCATTTCATAAAACAGAACAGCATGCACCTGGGTTGCACTCCTGAAATGTTTAGAACGGCCCACTCTGCTTGAGTTAATCGAATCTTTTCTTTACCTGGTGTGAACAAGCCCACCCAGTTATACTGGGAAAGAGAAGTATTTGTACTTGACAGAAGGCTATAATGCAGTTTGACTGGTTAAGTAAAATGAGTGGGCTGAGAACACTGCTTCATTGCACTGCCGTGAGCGCTGTAGTGCTTGAAATGCATAAGGAAGGCACAAAGTCCCTTTTAATGTTACCCCTGGGCCGGCCCTACCATTAGGCAAAATGAGGCAAATGCCTCAGGCAACAGATACTGAAGTGGGGAGTAGCACTCCCCTAGACTAGCCTGCGGGAGGCTACAAGGAGAGAAGTGGGGTGTTTCATTGCGTAAACAAGAGTCTGCTGCATAACTGGAAGAGCAGATGTGGCGTTTGCTCGTTCGTTTAGAAAATGTCTGTACAGGAGGGAGAGAAAGGGTTAAAATGTAGACCAATAGGAAAGCAGGAGGCGGAGCATACCTGTTTATAAAAGGGCTTAGCCCGAGGTTTGAGTGGTTAGTTGGTTGGGAAAGGCAGTTAGAAAAGCAGTTGACAGTCAGTTGGAAATAGAAATACAGTTAGTGCAGTGGGTTCTTGTGTGAGGGGAGGTAGTAGAGATAAAGACAGGATAAAATAAGACTAAGAAGATAAAGAGTAACAACGTTTGGAATGCAGTTAAAGATTGTTTGTGTCTGCAATAAACTTCACTCTTCTTTGTCAACTTGAGAACCTGACTGAAATTTACCGGGGAGGGACCCGGTTGGTGGCAACGGATTAGTGGTATATGGGTCAATAGTCCATGAGGCGACCAGGGGCTCCGTACGAACGCCACAGCAGCGTTTTATAGAACTCAAAGTTCTTTAAAAAACAAAGCAATCTTATTTTTTCTCAGGCTGGAGCAGTACAGTCAAGCAGTGGTGGTTGTGTCAAGGTAAGCATTATTTCCTTAAAGGTCCTTAGTCCCCTACAAGACACAACAATTATATACACATTTGTCTTAAATTTTTAAAGAATCCTTCTGCACATAAACGCTGCAGGTTCAGACAGGCTTTTTTCCAGGAAGTTTGAAGTGTCAGGCTCATTCTTCTGCATAAAATTATCCAGTCCTTATTAGTGTGTCTTCTGTCTGCGCTCCTGGTGTGTCTGCATCAGTACAGCTGGACGCCTTCATCTGCAATGAAACATGTCTCTCCCGTATTGTTCTCTACAGCTGTAACCCTCCAACAGTTTGACTTTACACCCAAAGGCACACTCCTTCATTTTCTCTCTTCCTGTTTTGACCCAAATACAGAGAGAGGAATTTGTTCTTGGTGCCTGCTCAAACAGATCACTTGCCAAAGATTCCACAAAGGCTTTTTAACTCTTCTCCCATGTCTTAAAAATTAAACCAACCTGTGCTACATTCGAGCATAGTCAAAGGGTCCACTGAAATGAATTCCAGAGCAGCTCTGTTTATAATGAAATAATTCTTTTTCCTTTTTTGATCTTTAAATATTAAAGGTTTGGGTTGCATTTATTCCCTCGTCATAATCTTAAATTCCCTCATTCATTCCCTCGTCATCATCTTAAATACCTGATTCATTTTCAGAGTACACAAGGATCATCGCAGAGCAGTGGCAGTGAAGCCAAGGTAATTGCTGTTTTTTCCTTGCCATTAATTTTTTGTTTCTTCTCAGGACTTGCTTAGAGCCAAACTACATGTTACACCTCACTACAAACTACACAGTAGCCACAAGTAATGTTAGTCCCATCACAGCTGTTCCAATCCAAGCAGTCCTGGGGAGGGGACAATTTTACGAAGGCGAATTGCCGTGTTGCTTCTCCTAACATCCTTGGTGCTGCTGCTCATGCATGGAGGTTTTTTGCACAATCCACATGAAATAAATTCTCATCAAAATGCCTTCCCATAGTATTTCCCCATTTGAACTAGATTTGCTGTTTCTGCAGGGAATCTGATAAGTTAAAAGAAAAAAGTACAGTGGAAACAGCAAATCAAAATTAAACGCTGGGCGTAGGGGTGGGGAATCGTGGAATTGCACTTTGATGAGGTCAGCGCCATGTGGACACTGGGAAAAACTTGCATGCATGAGCAAAAGTAAGTCCACAAAAAGTGCATCTGTTGGGAGCTTCCACACAGCAGTTAAGCCAGCGAATGCTTCAAAGTTTTGTATACAGTGGTACCTCTAGTTACGAACTTACCGTATTTTTCTCTCTATAAGATGCACCAAACCATAAGACGCACCTAGTTTTTGGAGGAGGAAAACAAGAAAAAAAATTATTCCGAATCCCAGAAGCCGGAACAGCAAGAGGGATGGCTGCATCTTATGGAGCGAATGCAGGCTGCGCAGCGATCCCTCTTGCTGTTCTGGCTTCTGGGATAGCTGTGCAGCCTGCATTCGCTCCATAAGACGAACACACATTTCCCCTTACTTTTTAGGAGAGGAAAAGTGCGTCTTATAGAGCGAAAAATATGGTAATTTGTTCCAGAGGTCCATTCTTAACCTGAAACTGTTCTTAACCTGAGGTACCACTTTAGCTAATGGGACCTCCCACTGCTGCCATGCCGCCGCCACGCAATTTCTGTTCTCATCCTGAGGTAAAGTTCTCAACTCGAGGTAACTCTTCCAGGTTAGCAGAGTTTGTAACCTGAAGTGTTTGTAACCTGAGGTGTTTGTAACTCGAGGTACCACTGTACTGTGCAGTAGGCTGCAGTCCCCCCCCAAAAAAAAATTCAGGCTCAGAAATGACTGGCATAATTTTTTCTTTCCAGGTCATAGTGGTCAAAGAAGGAAGCAGCAGCGGAAGCGGCTGCGGTGGGGTAAGTAAACACTCTGTCCTCTTGATTCTAGAATTTTGTCCCAGTGTAAATGTTGCATAACGCAAGTTGTGCTCGAGGATTCGGTGAACTGTGTTACTGCAAAATAAGAGATTATCCCATTCTATAGCTGCCCCTCTCCAGTGCCGAATTTATGTATAAGCTAAACAAGCTATAGCTTAGGGCCCCACTCTCTTGGGGACCCCTAAAAAAATTAAAGGGAAAAAAACTTGGATGTACATTTCCAAAATATAAGATAAAAAACAAATAAAATAAAACCTACATACAGCAGCAGTGTTTTGTGTTGTGTATGGACCTATTAGGTCCATAAATTACCACATAGCATATATTCAACACAGAAAACAGTGACAATTCGTTGTTGACAAAGGACAGCTGGACATATAAAGGACCCCATTGCCTTCAGTAGTTGAGGGCCTCATCAAACCTAAATCCGGCCCTGCCCCTCTCTGTGTGATTTGATCTATCCAGTTTGATCTATCCATCTGAATGACGTGCCTGCTGACCAGCAAAAAAAATAGACAACTGTTTTTTCTTTTGCTCACAGGGAGGAACTGCAAGTGTGTACAACAAGTTTGGCTGCAGAGATGTAAGTACTGGTATGCCTCTTTCTTTTCTGTTTTATTCCTGTTCCCTGCTCAACAACGCAGGGGAAGCTGCCATATACTATGTCAGCCTATTGGTCAATTTCACTCAATATTGTCTATATATCAAGGGTAAAGGTAAAGGGACCCCTGACCATTAGGTCCAGTCACGGATGACTCTGGGGTTGCGACGCTCATCTCGCTTTATTGGCTGAGGGAGCAGGCGTACAGCTTCCGGGTCATGTAGCCAGCATGACTAAGCTGCTTCTGGCAAACCAGAGCAGCACACGGAAACGCCATTTACTTTCCCGCCGGAGTGGTACCTATTTATCTACTTGCACTTTGACGTGCTTTCGAACTGCTAGGTAGGCAGGAGCAGGGACTGAGCAACGGGAGCTCACCCCGATCAGAAGGTCGGCAGGGATTCGAACTGCCGACCTTCTGATAGGCAAGCCCTAGGCTCTGTGGTTTAACCCACAGCGCCACCCATGACCCTATATCAAGGGTAGGCTCCCCCTTTTAGCCAAAAGGCCGCTTGAAGAGGTTCTCATTTCTTACCAGTCCAACAGGGTGGTCTGCTATCCAGAATTCGTAGGATTTATACTGAATTTTAGTCTTATTTCTACATTTTCTTGAATTCTAAAGGCCGCCCTAATAAATTTAGTTCCTGGACCAGCCTTCCTCCACTAAGCATCCAGTTACAGAGCTAATCATTTTCTTTTCCCAAAGTATGCCTCTGGTTAAATCATACCATTCAGGAAATTAAGGGAGTTTTGGTTTATTTACAGAATGCAGCTGCTTCCGGCAGTCAGTCTTCATATGGCCAGGTAAGAACGCTTTCCACATAATTCTTTATTTTACGAGTATAAAGTTTCTCCAAAGTTTAACAACTCAATTTACATCTTCAAAAAGTAGATTGCACCAGTATGTGTGCTGAGTTGCGATCTTGACAGGGAGCAAACCATGCTCAAGATCTAGGCGCAAAATTGCTTTGTTGATGAGTTTATGCATGGTATTTCAAGCGATTTTAACTAACATTTATATTCTATATCTTACAGTCGGTTTCCACCAGCAAAGTAAAGGTATGTAGGTGGTATTTTTTCTTCCTTTCCAATAAAATTGTAAAGGCTGGCAAACGTTGATCGATCCTTGCTTCAGCAAGCCAAAGTTTTATACATGTTTTGCTATGAGGAAATAGGTTACAGTAGTCTTTTCTTTAAGAGATCGTGTGTCCATCCGTTTTAGCCTCTTGGAATCTACAAAAGGACCTCTTGGTGCTCTTAACATTGGTAATAGCCAAGTGCTGTCATTACCCTCAAAATACCTTCTTTTGGGGGAAATGCCAGATCTTGCAAGAAAATTAAAACTGGGAAATAGGAGATTATTTCCTGAACTTCCTCGCTGTATGCCATTAGTATATAGAACGTGAATCTGCAGTGCTACAGCTCCTCTCTTTCTGAGTATTTTGAAGACCTTTTTTGTTTCTTTGTTCAAAAAGCAGGGTAAACCACCAACACGTAATAAAAAAATACCCTACTTTTTTCTCATTAACAGGTTGTGACTTACCCAGAGAGCAAACCTTTCCCACCTGAGGTAAACACTAAACTGTGCTGCATTTGTTTGTTTGTTTGTTGATTAAATTGTACCATTTAATGTAATTAAAATCTCTAAGCAGGTTACAATAAAAATGCAAATAATGTTCAGTTAAGGTAACCTTTAAAAAACTGGATTAAAAATGATCTCAAAACAGAACTGTGTATCTCGAACTGAGCCCTGACCTAGTAGAAGTTAGGGTCCATCAAGCTAATGATGGGGACACTTGGGGCTCCCCAGATGTTATAGGACTACAACTCCCAGCATCCCTGACCATTAGTCATATTAGCTCATGGCAGTTTGAGGCTTGTGACACCTGGTTGGCTACACCTGGTTCTCCTTTCCTAGTTTATACTCAGCTGTGCTGAGCAAAATGGGTGTGTGGAGAAAGAGAGCTGAACACTTTCCCCATTTGCTATTTGATTCTCCTGACTCCTACCCTGAACATTTTTCTCCAAGCTAGCTTACTTTTGGGATCAGATCTATGGATGAATGAATCTGTCCATTTCCATTTATCTCAGTTTCTCATATTTCAATTCAGTTCTTTGCATTTCCACACCAGTTTGTAATTTTTCAAATAAAGAAATCAAAATTGATTAGGATTTTCATGTGAATTATTAAAAACAAACACTTTTTTGCATGCAGTTTCCCCTAATACACACATTTTTGAAGCTGTTTTCCCTAATACAATGCATTTTGTATGCTACTTTCACATCCATTTTTATGTACTCTTCCGCCCTAATATTTGCATTGTTGTACACATTGGCTGAACTGCATTGCAAAATTCAGAGACTTGCACATTTCAAAGGATAGCTGTGTCTCAGTTTGCATATTGGTTCCAGAAGTACAAATTAAGTACTCCTTCAATAAATTAAAACTATATCTAATTTCTCTCCCATTCCTACTTAAAACTGTAGGGGGAAAACATCTTAAGGACAGATAGTAGGGACATTGGTCACAGGCAGCAGGAGGGTTAAGTGCTTGGGATCAAGTTGTTTCTACAGAGTTGGCACAATAAAAGGAACCTATATTTAGATTGCATGTTATGCTTTCGTTTAATTTTTCATCCTTGATCTTTTCTGTAAGGAACGCTTTTGCAAGTGAATAACACCATTGTGTCTCTTTGCTTTTCCATTTCCTAATAGCGTGATTCTACTTATCCATCGGTAAGCAAAACATCTCATTTGAATAGACATTTGTATGAGAGCAAATCTTATGCTGCCTACCTCCCAACCCAATCTAACTGCATAACCCTCAGCTTCTTTTTCATCAGCTGAGATGAGCTCTATAAGTATCCAGTTTCTCTGGAAAAGTCCCTTACCTCTGCAGTCAGTAATATTTTCTGTATTGTAAGTGGTTTCTGTGGACAGGAGCTTACAAACTTTTCTAGCTTCAAGGAATTGTTTCCGTAAAGACTTTGGGGGAGTGTTTTAGGTTCCTGGAGTTCCTGCAGGTTGCTGGACAAGTCTATGAGGCATCGCCATTGCTCTGAATGAGCTGTAAGTGCCGTCTAGAACACACCCAACACATCCTTGTGGCTGTGGTGCAAAATAGTGTCTATGTCAGGCTTTAGGCAGTCAGCCTCCTCCCTCCGTGGCAGTAGAATAAGCAGAACAGAAGAAAAGGAGTCTTCTTACCAGTTAGAAACTTTAATAATCACAGCGAGAGAACAAAGAATATATCTCCTAGAAATGGTGGTGCTCATAATTAAGGATCACCTCACTTCTGTCCCTATTCATCTACATCACTGATAAGTCTTGTAATCTGAGCTTGTACCCTCTGTGCTTTCTGTTCTGCCACTTTCTGAGCTCTTCTCAACCTTGGGCTGAGAGGAGGAATGCTGTCCAGAGACCGTGAATCTGTTAACCATCTCCCTTCCAGTGTTTCTTTTCCTAGCCGTTCCCCATCCAGTATTTCCCAGCTTCTGCCTTCTGAACTAGGCCCCTCTGCAAACCACTGTTCCAAATCTATAATGTCCTCCTGCTCCTGGGAAGATTCAGGATCCAGAGCAGGGGGAGGGGGAGACTTTGGATCATAGTATTGTTGAACTGTAGAGTTGGAAGGGACCCCAAGGATCATCTAGTATGCCCCCTGCAATGCAGGAATCTTTTGCCCAACGTGGGGCTCGAACCTACAAACATGCCGAAGGTCCCAGTTTCACTCCCAAACAACTCCAGCTAAGGCTGGAAACCCTGGAAAGCTGCTGCCAGTCTGGGCTAGTACAAGGCAGCTTCCTATGCTTTGCCTCTGATCACATGCCCAGAAGTTTGTTTTTAATAGCAGAACAATACTCATGATCCTGTCACAGAAAAATCCAGCTCCTGGTTCTCTCCCCCCCCCCCGCCCAGCTTTCCACCATCCTTCATATTGGCAGCCTAATGAAGAAGAATAAAAAGCATTTTCATGATTACGTTTTAAAAACAATCGGAAGTGGGGATCCTTGCCGATCCACTGCCAGGAACTTGGAGCTCTCTTAGCAGGTTCTCATCTAGCTTCCTTCTCTGAGGTTCTCTGCAACACAGTTTAAAAACCACGGCTATAGATGACCAGGAGTAGACAAGGGTCCAGATTACTTGCTCATATGCTTTACTGCCTTTTCCACTAGCTGCATCATAGCCAAATTAAATGGCTCCCATTTTCTTTCAGAAAATTGCTAACGCTGGTGGAATAATCTATTCCCAGGTAAGAAGTCTTTCTTCATCCCATCCCAATGCTGCTGTGTTTGTGTTATCGACAACGCTGTTTTATGAAATGTACATTTCTCCTTTTGATCTTATCAACTCCTTTCAGTGAAGATGGGCAAACAGTTTTGTTGTTTTTTTGGTGAAACAACCGCAAAGCTCTTTTACAGGGTAATTCTACAGTGCCACAGTTGCTGCATGATTTCTTTTAAGTTTTCATATTTGACTGTAATTTGGATGATTTTACTACTTGGAAGTCACTCTGTGTATCATTTTAATTTTTTTAAAACAACAACCCCTTTCTAACTTGTCCCACCCTCATCATTCTCTCTCTACAGGGTTCCAGACCTCAAGGTGGTTCATCGGAAACTGTTCGTATTACCATACAGGAGGTAACTATTGCTCAGTGACAAAGGAAATTTGGCATAGGGTTTCCCAGTTATTGGCATTGTGGTTCGAGGACCCGTACCCCGTGCAGTGGAATGAAACACGAGGACACGTGATATAAGGTTAATGGGCAAGAAAAGGCCACAACTTTATTGATTACAGCAAGTGAAAAGGTATTGGCTTAGGCATTGGATTACGTCAGCTGACTCCACCCCCTCAGAGAGGGGTGAGTCTGAAATAAGGGGGGTTTATTCACCAGTAGGTGGAGCCTGTTGATGCTAATCCAACTATAGGCTCTCCCCTGATGTCACCGAGGGTCGTGCCATGGCCTCCTGCCAAGCAGGCATCAGACAGAATACACGACCGCCAGATTCCTTTAACGGAATACCCAAAAATTGAAGGCATAGGCGATGGCCACACCTAGCCCTTCGACACCACAACACATTATTCCAATGCCTAACCTACCCACCAATACCACGAAAGTTGTGACGATTGCTACGAGGTAGGCGAAAAAACCAAAAAGCCTAATGCCAAATGGAAAAATTCCTACCAGCCCCCCCGAACAACCAGGGCGACCAACCTAAGGTCCATAGCAAGGCCAAAAGAAAACTGGAACCCTGCTCTAAGGGAGTGGAGGGTGGGTGACACGCGACGGGACAACGAAAAGTGAGGGCTGGAGGCTGGCGCCGCAGCAATTTAGGCTGCTGTACACGCCCCCCCTTGAAGGCACCTGGTTGGGTGCCTGGCCGAGGGCGTGGGCACCAGCCAGGTGAGTGGGAGGCAGGGGGCAAACGCCCCCTGCTTGAGGCGGAGTCCGGCTCCCGGCCACAACCACTCCCCTCTCTTGCAGGAGGACAGTCTTTGTAGTAAGCCAGTCCTGGTTCTAAACTTATTTCTATTTTACTGCTGTGTCTTAGAACAGAAGCTTCACCAAAATGCAGTGGGGGTGGCTGAGTTGAAAAGGGGACCACAGTTCTTGGCTACATCTATTAGCCAATGTGTTGAAGAGGAGAAATAGGAATATACTATAAATGTGAAGTATGCTGCATTGAAACAGGCACATAAGCAGGCAGCTCCCTGATTTCTTGATTTCATTTTCACAGGGTGGGAAAGGTAGTCCGGCTTGTGATAAGGTGAGTGATTCGTCTCCACTATAACTTGTTTATATTTATATTTTATTATAATATTACTATTTTCCCCCCTACGTGGTGTGCTTATGCGGAATTAAAAAAACAAAACAAAACCTGATAAAAGACTGCCATCCAAAGAAGCTCAGCTGTGGTAGGTTCAGAACAGGCAAAAAGAAATGCTCCTTCATAGAGCACATGTTCAAACTATGGGATTTGCCACAGATGGTGCGATGGTTACCAAAATGGGGTTTACGATACAATACGATAATCTTTATTGTCATTGTCCCATACAGAACAACGAAATTGAAAAAAATCTACATCAGACATTCAAAAACCAACAAGCCTGCTATCCCAGCTATCCCAGCCTGGTTAACCCCCTAAAAAACTCTGATACCCCATAAGTAAATACAATATACCCCCACAGAGACTACCTTACACTGCGTTTAAAACCAAAATCACATTTGGATAAAAGCTGTTTCTCAGGCGGCTAGTCCTAGTCTTTATAACCCTGTACCTTCTTCCAGAAGGCAGAAGCTGAAAGAGATCATTTCTGGGGTGTGCACTATCTTGCGCTATCTCTGCAGCTTTCTTATGACACCTGGAAGCATAGATATGTTGATCCAAGGTGGGAAGAGTGCATCCAATTATTCTCTCCGCAGTCTTTACAACCCTGGACAGCATTGTTTTTCCCCTGACCGTGCAGCTCCCAAACCACACACACAGACCATAAGTTAATACACTCTCAACAGTACAATGGTAAAATGCCATCAACGGGTCCTTTGAGAGATTATTTTTCCGGAGGATTCTCAGAAAATATAATGGTGGGAAATTGAGGGAAAGGTTATTACTGGCTACTAGTCATAATGGCAATATATGTACCAACCCTGTATCCTCCCCTGGGACAATCCACTTCAGGCCATTTTACAGGGAAGGAGGATTGTGGCAAATTCACTCCCCACCTCTAGAGTAGCAGCAGCATATTTGTGATGGCAACATACCACCTCCAGAGCCCACAAATTGGAGCTTTCGAATCTGCACAGGATCAAGAAACATTTATTGATTTGATGTCTTAAAGGTTGTGTTCAGATAACCTGTTTCTCAATGAAGTAATTCCTTTACTCTTTTACAGACTTCACCCGCCTATAACGTCAAGATTTGTAATCAGGTAAGCACCTCCATTCCACATTACCTTGGATTTGACTGGATGGTGTTCATAGTTTTAAATACATTAATAAATATTGTATCCTTGTTTTGCTCCCCCGCCCCATTTTTTAAATAAACTCTGAAGTAGGGATGGAAAGAGCTTTCAATTTTGATCATCTTATTTGCTCATTTTCCCCACCTTAAATTTAGTTCTCCACATTTCTGCAGCAAATTGCAATTTATCTTTTTTTAAATTCCTCTTGAAAAATCATCAGAATTTTAGAGCCAATTTCTCCTCAGAAACACATTTTCATATGCACTTTTGACTAATGTACATGTTTTAACAAATACATTTCGCCCAATACATTTTTATATATTACTGTATTTTTCGCCCTATAGGACGCACCGGCCCATAGGACGCACCTAGTTTTTGGGGGGGGGAATAAAGGGGGGGAAATTATTCCCCGCCCCCAGCCTGGGGCGGGGGAAGCCCGAGCTTTTAAAAACGCACCTAAGTAGTTTTTAGAGGAGAAAAACAAGGGCAGCAGGCTCCGTAGGCTGCGAGTATCTGCTCGAAGCGCGGGGTGCTCTGCTTCAGCGCGCCCTGCGCTCCGGGCAGCAGGCTGCTATCCGCAGCCTAGGGAGCCCTGCGGGAACTCCTGCGGGCTCCCCAGGCTTGCTGATAGCTTCCTGAAGCCTGGAGAGCGAGAGGGGTCGGTGCGCACCGACCCCTCTCGCTCTCCAAGCTTCAGCAAAAGCTTGCATTCGCCCCATAGGACACACACAGATTTCCCCTTCATTTTTGGAGGGGAAAAATTGCATCCTATAGGGCGAAAAATACGGTATATATTTTGTAAAATATTTTCATATTTATGCATACTCTCGTCATATATGCATTTTTCTAAATACTGTTGGATTAGAGAACTGCATTTCAAAATTTGGTTAATTGCAGATTTTGAAACATCTGTGTTTTGAGTCTCCTTCTGTTCAGGAAAATGTGAATTTGATTTGCCTTTAAATGTGAACTTTTTTGAATTTCTCTCTGATCCCTACTCTAAAGTAAATGTTTCCATTTTGGATTGCCCTTTTTAATCAAGGACATCTGTTTTCATTCTATAGTAGTAAGGTATATATAAAATGTTGCTTGCTTTTCCGAAATAAAATTCTAACTGCCAAAAATTTTGGTCAAGAATAGCCTTGTTGATGTCTGTTTTTCTTTGTAACAGAACCAGCTTTCAAACTCGCAGAGTACCAGCTCCTTCGGCACACAGGTATATAGATATACACATTCACCGTTCTATTTAAATGTTGGCTACTTTCCTGATAATGCCACTCTTAGATTGGTTGGCAATAGTATGGCTAAGAGGGACAAGCAAGCAGAAGGCTGCTAATGCCCCCAAATGAATTGGGTCTTCCCTTCTATGGCAGGTGCCAACAGTAGTTCTTTGTGTACCCAATAATAAAGTCCTTCCACAGTGCAATTCTGTAGAACAGAGTCCCATTTAATTTGGTGGGATTAACTCTCAGGTAAAGCACCCTGCTTTCCAGGGAACAAGCCTCATCGAATTCAGAGGCGTTTACTTCTGAGTAGGCATGGTTAGGACTGCAGTGGAAGTGTAGACAATCCCTTAGTGACATTGATCTCAGTTGTATCTGGGTGGAGTCTGGAATTTCCTGTTGCTGATCTGTTCTTGCTGGGGAGACGGTAAGATCCTAGCTTCCTGGCTGGTATGTCCTCTAAGACAGGATAGAGTTGTGTGCCCTGAACTGGAATAATAATTTTGTGTGTGATTTTTATAGGAAAGCAGCTTCAATAACCCTCATCATTCTTTTTCTACAGGGTTTGAAACCTCAGGGTGGCTCATCAGAAACTGTCCGTGTTACCATCCAGGTAACTATTAGGGTTATGTAAAGAAAATACACGCACACACAACCCTTGGCACCTGCTGGGTAGTGTTAGCTCGGTGGCATGTACTGAAATTGTACTTCCTCACGGATCCTTGGAGGAGGGTTGCCTTACCTTGTTTTCTGAACCTGGGTTGACTGATCCATTGCCTATGAGGAGGGAAATAAATGCTTCAGTTTTCATCAGACTTGTATGAACCTTTTAAGCTGAGTAGCTCCTTCTGAAGATATCAGTGCTGCCAAATTTCAGACACATAGGGACAGGGTTTTTGGTGTGTGCTAGGTACCTCTTTAAAGCAAGGATCTTTCAGCCTGAGGGCTGGATTTTAATGTAGCCCAACCTTCTGAGGGCCACATTTGAAGGGAAGGCAAAAAGAATGACTAACAATAGTGTCGCTGATGTCTTGTTTTTCTTCACAGGAGGGTCGGCCTTCAGGATCACAGGGCGGTAGCTCTGTTAGCATACAGGTATATACTTATATGGTGGCGCTGTGGGTAAAAGCCTCAGCGCATAGGGCTTGCCGATTGAAAGGTCGGATGTTCGAATCCCCACGGCGGGGTGCGCTCCCGTTGTTCGGTCCCAGCGCCTGCCAACCTAGCAGTTCGAAAGCACTCCCGTTTGCAAGTAGATAAATAGGGACCGCTTACTAGCGGGAAGGTAAACGGCGTTTCCGTGTGCGGCTCTGGCTCGCCAGAGCAGCGATGTCACGCTGGCCACGTGACCCAGAAGTGTCTTCGGACAGCGCTGGCCCCCGGCCTCTTGAGTGAGATGGGCGCACAACCCTAGAGTCTGTCAAGACTGGCCCGTACGGGCAGGGGTACCTTTACCTTTTACCTATATACTTATATATTATACACTTTATAGCAAATGTTGACTGTTATGTACTGAAGTTCTCACCCTGGGCCAGCAGGGGGATACTGTAGATAGTTATGCAAATGAAGGATCGAAAGTGACGTTCAGTGATTGGATAATTTTAGAAAGTTGTTACAGTAACGTGGTACTGGAGCTCTATATAAGCAGGCTGACTGAGCCCTTCAGTTCAGTTCTGTCCTGGCCTGTGAATAAACAAGAGCTGTTTGAAGAATCGCTGTGTCGTCTGATATGTTCACCTACAACTTAACATTGACTTTATCTCAAAAATATTAACTCACAGCAGCAAGGTTGATGTCTTGTTTTTCTTCACAGGGCGGTCAGCCTTCAGGATCACAGGGCGGTAGCTCTGTTGGCATACAGGTACATACAAACACATATATACTTCATATCAAATGTGAGGAGCAGATGGGGCTCATTAACCTGGGAAGGTAGCCCATCTGGGAGAAAGAAAACTCTGATCCTAAACCTCTGCTGCCTTGTAGGATATCTTTGGGAGAAGAAAAAGCTAAGGAGAAAACCCCTCACAAATCTGGACTGGAGTCCCTATGATAGTTGGATGACATTGTAGGCCTCCTCCTAGAGAAGAAGTGGAGGTGGTGGTTCCTTGGTAGACAGTAGAGTCTATTGGGGAGGGGGCAAAGGACGCAAGCTGTACAATACAGCAATTGTAGCTTAGCAGCAATGATATCGGAAGGAGGGAAAAGTTAACAGCATGGAGATACTCTATGTCTCCTGAAATTTATAGGGAAAGTGTTTTCCAAGGAGCCACTACCCACATCCCATCCTGGGCTCTTGGTAAATTTTTCTCCCTGGACATCAGAATGAGCTGCTGGTGGTAGCTGTATAATAAGGACAGGCAAACTGCTCAATATAAGCTGCTTTGCCAACCCTGGCTTTGTAGGGATTGGGCAAAGAAATTGGCCTGTGCTAACCCTCCTGCACAAGATCCTGAATGGTCATTGCCTGCTTTTCTTCACAGGGCCAGTCTTCAAGCTCACAGGGCAGCAGCTCCTCTGGCAAACAGGTATATATGCATGTGAAATCATACAATTGTACAGTTGGAAGGAACCCTGAGGATTATCTAGTCCAACTCCCTGCAGGGCAGGAATACGTAGCTGTCCCACACAGGGATCGAACTTGCAACCTTGGCATTATCGGCACCATGCTCTAACCAACTGAGCTATCCAGGTTGTGTAGTGGTTTAAACAGTTTTGGACTCAGAGCTGTGAAATCTGATTTAATACCCTTGCTTAGCCCAAGATGCTGGCTGTGTGACTCCAGACCAGTCGCTTTATCTCAGGCCTAACATGTGAATGGTGGCAGTATTTTATTGTTTTGAAGTGATTTTTTTTTAATTAAAAAAAATGCCGGGAAGGAGTGTTAAAACAATTATAGACCACAAGAAATTTGTAAGAAAACAACAGCAAACAAAACACAAACGGAGGGAATGTATGTAGAAAATATATTACTTTGAAGGCAATAGTACATTTGTTTTTGTTTTTGTTTTTAAAGCAGGGTGGATCTTATTCAACCGGTGGCAGTCCCTGCGGCAAGGTATATTCTTTTATTTGACAATAATTTGGAAGCAGTCTCAGTATTGGTTGTCTTACAATAGAACAATTTGTTGAGGAGATGATGTGAGCAAAACATAAAGTATACAATAGGGAAGTGCTGCAATTCCTTGTTAGTTCTGATAGCAAACAGTACTAGAATTGGTAATATACAAATATTTGCACACAGCAGATCTTTAGATATAAATTATTCTTGGACCAATGCTGGGATAGAATTGCTTTTCCATGGAAGGAAGTGCTATTATCTTAACCTTTATCCTTCCGCAATAACTGGCATGGACAACATCCCCTTTCAGGCTTTGTCTACGTGTCACCAATATGAGAATGAGTGCAATTCTTTCCATGTGTTTCATATACAGTGGTACCTCGGTTTTCAGACATAATCCGTTCCAGAGGACCATTCAAGTTCCGAAACATTTGAAACATTTGAAAACCGAGGTGCAAAGGGCGGTCTGCAAACTTAATAGAGAAAATGAAAAAAAAAACCTCAGTGAAAGCCGTTCGACTTCCGAGGTGCGTTCGAAAATGGAAGCATTTACTTCTGGGTTTTCGGAGTTTGAAAACCAAAGCATTAGACTTCTGAGATGTTCAAAAACCGAAGTACCACTGTTCAAAAACTGAAGTACCACTGTATATTGAATGTATCACTGAAATACTTTCAGTGAGAGAAGGGGAAAAGGGTATGTGCTTGTGGTTTTGCATGGATGTGTGTGTGTGTGTGTGTGTGTGTGTGTGTGTGAGAGAGAGAGAGAGAGAGAGAGAGAGAGAGAGAGAGAGAGAGAATGAAGGGCACTCTAGCCATGTGTCTGCATACATAGTGGTGCTGGTTTTAAGTACAGATGTGATCAGATCCATAATCCAGGACTTTAAGGAACTAAAAAAATGACAATTGCTTTAAAAAATGCAAACCTAAGAATAACAAGAATAAACATTCATTTTAAACAGGGGATTACATATGACAGCAATCCCTGCAGCCAGGTAAGATTTCCATTCCATTCACGTAAAAGACATATGTCAATAGATCATCTAGTTTTAGGGTCTAACTAAATGCAAATATAATGGATAAAAGCTCCTGAAGATGACCTTGTTCTAGTGCATTCATGATGCTTTGTGCAACTGATGGTATCGGGTTAGCTTTAAATGATTCTGCTTTGAATACTGTTCGCACCTGCCAATGTTTTGGGGCAGACATGCTGTTTTGTTTCCAATTGGTGCATGTCCTGCTGAAATCCCACAACTTTTCATGGTATAAATGTTCTGGGTTCCCTCTTTCCCCACTGTTCTTGCTATGCTGTTGCACAATAGTGTCTCTCTAGACAGCAATAAACATTGGGGAAGCAAGTTGAAAGCTGCTCAAGTGATCGGAATCTAAGAAGAGAAGAAGCCCAAACACATTTTGGTGTGGCAAATTCCCCAGAGTTTTGGGGAAAGGCCACGAAATAGAATATGCAGAAATAGTGTGGTGCATTGTTTAGAATTTCAAACAAGCAATCTCTTGAGCAGCCAACAGCATTTGCAACTCTACCTCCATCATAGAAATTATCGTGCATTTTCCACTCAAATAAGAGAAGATGGTAGCATTTGTGTGTGATTACTGATTTTGTGCTGCTTTACAGGGCCAAGCGTCGCCGTCGTCATCATCATCATCATCATCATCTTATTCATCGTCTTCATCTTCACAAAGCACCTATGGCCAGGTAGGGGTTGTTTCCTTTAGCTGTTTCTTCCCAGTGTATGATGAATGGATGATGAACTGATTTTCAGGCACTTTAACTGGGAGAAAGGATCTTAAAATGCCCATAAGGAAGTGCACAAATACAAAACATGGCAGCAAATGTGCTGACAGAATACTGGAAGGGCACAGGGGACCTATGCCAGAAACAGGTGGCGTGCAGATCTTTAGACATTTTCATTGGAATCAGAATATAATGCATGATCAGAAAATTTCCATTGGTGCTGAGACAACATAGGACATCAACTCACTAGAAAGTTCTCCTTCACAAACTCCATTGCGCTGTTGCACATCTCCCATTCCTTTCAAGGGAGTTTGCTCGTGCAAGGAAACATTTCAGCTGTTTGTGCCCTGGGTTTCCACACATTTCTAAATTTTCTTTTAAATTCCTGTGAGCCAAAATAATCTCCCCTTATTTTGAGTGCCCCCAAAAGATTCTGAACACTAGATTTCTGAAATTCAACTGACAAGAACTATTTTAATGTGTTTTCCTCCCCTCTCCACTCCGTTTGTCTTCTTTAGGGTGGCTCACAATATCAAGGCAACCCCAACGCTTGTCCTCCGGTATGTTCCCTTTCTCTTAAGTTTTATGATGATTTGCTACCTGACAAAGTTATATATATATCATTCTGTCCCTCTAATGCCCGTGTCAGCAACCAAGTTTTCCTTAAAGGCCAATTTCAGAAGCAAATGATGAGAGTTAGCACCTCGGCCCTGTTACTGCTTCAAGAGTCCAAGTGTGTCCATCAGTTGTTCTTTGTTTTCTTATATCTTTATCCTGCTTTTCCAACAAACATTGTCTGCCAAAGTGGTCCACTTCAGTAGCAAACAAACAACAAACACAAGGCTTGTTCTAGGCTTGCTAACCTAATTTTCTGTTCTGAACCACCCTGGGATCTTCGGATGAAAGGCGGTATACAAATTTAAATAATAATAATAATAATAATAATAATAATAATAATAATAATACAAGACACACAGAAGGGAGGGGATTAGAGGAAACAAGCAGAGGAGGGAGATCAGTTTGACAGTGCAAGGGGTGAGTTGTATATATGCTTGTAGTCTTGTATGGACAAAGGCGTAAGAACTACGTGTATGAGAGAAATTCAATTTCATGCACATTCAAGGGTGAACTTACATAATTCACACTTGGCAAAGTAATTTCTGATTTTGTATTTTTCTCTCTCAGGGGATAGATACTTCTTCCAACAACAGAAATAGATGCTGAGTGGTAAATATCAGCTCTTATTATACAAAGATGAATCTCAAAGTATGATAGTCTTTTATACCTACTATTTGAATATTGCAGAGACATTTGTATTATGGGTTGCATTTGATGGATTTTCTGTGCGATCCCAGGGAAGCTTTCCCACACCCAAGGGAACCATATAAAGGAAGGGGCACCGGAAGATTATATGCATGGGAGTTAAATTTGTTACATGGTGCATGAGGCTCCAGAAAGTGAACCAACTTTTACTTAACCTAAGAATATACCTCATAGTAAATGGAGTCCCGAATGTGATTGTAGGTGGCAACATTTTCATTTTACTTTGACAATTCCAATAAACAATAACCACATCATGCTCGTGATAAACAAATTACACTGTTCAGCTCCTCCAGCGATTGATGTATAATGTCAAATTTAAATGAATTGGCAGGTAGATAGGCAACTTGTATTTTGCCCATCACTCTTAATATGAGATGGAAATATTTAGCATTGTCTCCTGAGACAAACAGATGCCAACAACAGCTAGAACTGAGGCCTTGGTTCACATAAATGATCTCAAGATTAGGTCATTAGCTGTGTCATTCCATACAAAGGAAGTTGGATTGTTAGTAAAATGTTACCAGAAAAGAATTTCAGCAGTAGGGGATATGTAAGTTGCCTTTTTTCCTTTTTCTTTTTAAAAATCCTGCTATAGGTTAATTAATTAATTAATAATAATAATAACAACAACTTTAAGTGAAAGAACTACAGAATGACGTGGTTGTATTCATGTGTTTTAGCAATATGTGTTGAAACAGAAAACCGGTCTGGAGAGGAAGAATATAATTCAATAGTCACGAGAGCAACTGGAATTTCTCAAAGTTCAAATACATTGCAAAATTACCTGTCTGCGAGACACCTCCCTGACACCTCACGCTGCAGAACAGAAATGTTCGTGTTTTCACAAGTCAAAACCAGGAGTCGTGAAGTGAAATAAAAACAACTTTTTCCTTAAAACGCTCAAGTCTTTATTTTTATTGATTACATTTTGATCCATGCCTCCTCTCAAAGGAGCTCCGGGGAGTGTCTTCCCCTCATTTTGCACAAAAGCCTTGCAGAATCTGCACATCCTGATAAGCTAGTCCACCACTCCCTGGTTTCTCTGCTGTCCTCCTTCACCCCAGTGAGAATATTTTACCCGCAGAGCTGGCAACCTTAACTGCAAACCAAACCTGAGGGTTGCAGGGAACAGCCGTTCAATGTGTCCAAACAGAACTGCCCCAATTGCATTGGAAGAAGGAGCAGGTTTCCTTCTTCAAAGCAAAAGGGGTGTGTGGTTGATTATGAAGACATCTCTTGGCTTCCTTCCCTGAGCTGTGTGCCTGCAGTTGCAGATCAGGGACACTAGAGGACACTGCTCCCCATTGGCAGTGCCAATCGCCCCTGACCAGCGTCACCACAGCAAGCTGGGCTTTGCAGCTGCAAATATAATATAACCCCATTGCACTCTAAAGCTCATACCCTTTCCAAACATGGTGCATGAATTCTTAGGAGGAGACCAGTGGAATTGCATTGACAACCGAAGTGACTACATGTGCCAATAAAGTATGGCTGAGTTAGCATTTTGGAACATGGCATTTTCTGGGTACCAGCCATAGGAATTTAAGGGCTATTGGCTAAGTGCTAGAGTAAAGCTTGATGTCATGGTGTGTAGGAACTGCCTTGGCCTACCTACGTATGTTGGGGGAATCCTACAAATCGCAGAACAGAAAAGGCAAAGAGAAGAACCAAGAACTAATGGTTAAGAATTCTCTCCAGGAACAGAAGCAAAGGGCCGGTGCCAGACTTGGCATAGTCTGGCAGATAGCCCCCCCCCCACTGCCAAGCCTTCACTTTGTGGAAGGAAAATATGAGTCCCTGTGACACACATGTATGAGGTAAATAACACGAGAATCACCTGGGTGCCTGGGTTCAAAACACGGGATAAACTTGCCCTCCAACAGGAGAGAGCCCCCGGTCAAACAGCAGTATAGCTTTAGGAATATAGGTTGTTAGACCCTTTTGTCCTGTTTAGTTGCATTCAGCGCTCCCCTCTTTTAACGCCCCCCCTCAATGAACAGACCACACACTGCTAAGCAGTGCTTTTTTTCTAAAAAAAATCTTAAGGGGTGCTCTCATTTTCCTACTCATATTGAAATACTGCCCCTCAATGAGGCCAAACTTAGATTCACAAAATGTTTATCAGTATGCATACCCCTGTGTCCCCCCCCAAAAAAGCACTGCTGCTAAGTAAGTTTAAAATACTTTATTTACAAAATGTCCCAAAGGTCTAATTCATGCATTTATCAAAGCAGCAGCAAAGAAAACACAGGCAGAATACTCTTTGGTAGAAAATAAAGAAAAATCGCTTCAAAAACGTGCTCTGGAGCTTGTTTATACATGTCCTTCCTGGTGCAGTACGTGACATGGGGAGAGAGGGAACAGGAAGAGAAGGCTTCACTCCCTCATCAGAAAAGAGGGGGCGTGACCTAGTTGAGTCTAGGAATCTAGCTCTGTGGTCTTAACCCCTTCATGCATAGCTAGATTTGACTGCAATTTCCCAGACACTTTGTAGCAGCAGCACAGCCATCTTCACCACCACCTCTCTAAGCCTGTGCCACTGCTATGGTCAGCCAGGGCAGCTAAGAAGACTTTTTAAAAACTTAAGTCTGTTTGTTTTTAAGCTGCTATTGCTCAGTGGCAGCTTTCCTCCTACTAGTGGTCAGCAGGGCGGTGGCACCACCGTGACTTACCTGGAGGGAGAGGTGGCAGAGAACTCTGTGCCATGCAAACACACTTTTGGGTGTGTCGTGTTGGCTCTGCTGGTGCCTTTGCACCAAATCAACCTCGCCCTTCTCCCTCCCAGTAAGCTTTAAGCCCCACCCCTACGGTGCTTTTATCCTCTGCAGGTATGGCAGCTCAGCTGCAATGACTGATGAACGTCATTTGAAATGGTCCATTGGTCCATACATTGGCTTTCTCCTTGCAGACACCTATGTTAGCCAAAGTATGTCCAGGAAGAAGGGCCTGATGCTAAGACTGGCACCTTTCCCCAGCCATCGTTGAGCCTTCTTCCCACAATGAATGCAGTCTCCAATACATTATTTAGAAACAAGACCAGACATGAATTGATTCTGAATAATATACAGTGGTACCTCAGGTTACATACGCTTCAGGTTACAGACTCCGCTAACCCAGAAATATTACCTCAGGTTAAGAACTTTGCTTCAGGATGAGAACAGAAATCGTGCTTTGGTGGCACGGCGGCAGCAGGAGGGCCCCATTAGCTAAAGTGGTGCTTCAGGTTAAGAACAGTTTCGGGTTAAGTACAGACCTCCGGAACGAATTAAATACTTAACCTGAGGTACCACTGTGCTTAGGACATGGATTTAAGTGCATGAAGTTGTCACGAGTCTTAAAACTTTAGGACAGTGGCCCTCGGGACCAACTAGGACTTCCAGGGGTGGGACAGGTAAAAACATGACTAGGCCAAAAAGGGGCACCTGGAAAGGCCTGCCCATAGTACCCTGTGCATGCTCTTTCCATGCCCCAAGAACCAGTCCTTGCAGACCACCAGCTGATTGCTGTGGTTTCAAAGTGCTGCACACTCCAGAAGACTAAAACAAGTCACCTAGCATCAGTGTGCCGTCAAGTGATTGGCAGGTGGGTTAACTTGGCCCATGAGGCATGGGGGAAATTAGGATCAGGACCTGCTGACTGGATCCAGTTTCCCACCCCTGCTCTGGGGCCTTATTTATATTATCACTGGAAGCGCACCTCAGTCACATCCTGTCAGTCACATAACTGTATGCCCTGCAGTCCACAAGCAAGTAACATTCTAAAGAGAATAACTTCCTGGATGGAGGCACATAAATGACTGCAATAATGGGCAGCAGAACAAGGAGATGGAGTTATTTGAAAATGGACGTTAACCCCTCAAAGTTCAAGCATTGCATTAAACCACAGATAGAAATAATTATGTGTATCAGCACTCTGCTCGTGTGTATTAAAGCACCGTCTGTTTTTAATGTTGTGTGTGAACCAGGCCTATAGATGCACAACTAAGCTATTCTGAGATGATGGGGTGTTCAAATTTCAACTTTAAAAAAACAACACATCACTACCTGAGATGGAGAGCAGCCCGGGAACGAGGCTTCTCCAGAGGCATGTCTCTCTCTTTCCATTGTATACAATCACAGACGATGCCCACAAAGTAACAATTAAACTGATGCATCCACTACAATTACAACTTGAGATAGTAAACCAACTGGCATCGTCAAGAGTTGGTTAAAGTTGCCATGGTACCAGGATGAAGGCTTGGGGCTTTACAAGAAGAGGAATAAAATATAGGCATTCGAGATTTGGAAGGCACGCTTAAGTGAAGCTAGTCCTTGCTTTTAAGCAGAGGTGTACTGCCACCCTGCCTACAGAGTGACCTAGTTTGATCATATATTCCTCCCTGTCTCTGCACTCCACCCAGGCCTCTGTATCTAGCAATATCTCTCTTCCTTCTCCACCCACTTCTGATTCCCTTCTAGTTTGCCTTCATGATTGCTCTGCACGTGGCAGAACCCCAAGGTCAGGAATGATTTGTCATTCCCTTTCTGCCTTCATTGATTTCACCACTAAGAACATATGGATCAGGCCAACAGCTCATCTAACCCAGCAACCTGTTCTCACAGTAGCCAACCAGATGCCTATGAGAAGCTTGCAAGCAGTGCCAGAAGTGCACAGCAGAGATCATTATCTTTGCAACTCAAGGGTTAATTCTGCTAGTGCTGAAGGGGTGGGTGGGTGGAGGCGCTCCTTAGCAACTAGACAGAATGGCATGATGTTGACAGACATTGCATGTGCCCTGACTGGCTGTGTAAGTCTGAGAGAGTTTTTATTCCGTATGTTTCGTTGAATGTCCACCTTCCACGTTCAAGGTCGGAAGTAAAGAAAGGCAAATATTTTCTCTTCCTTTCTGCTCAGAATTGCACTGCTTATATCTATTTTCCTCAGTTAAGCATTATCAAGGCTATTCTCTCTGGACTCCGCACAGGGCCGTCTTAAGCATATCCGGCGCCGTGGCGCAAAGCTCCCTCCGACGCCAACCCACCCCCCACCCCCCGTTTCCCAGAGTTGTCCACCTTTTTTTAGGGAGGATGGCACTGCTGGCAGGGCTGGAGGAGGCGGGCAGCAGCTGAAGGGTGGCTCTTCCGGTGGGGAAGGGGTGGAGGCTGGACGTGGTGCCTCCCGGCTCAGCTGGCCACTTCGTGCCGCGGTGGCCATGGCACATGGAGGCTCTGGGTGCGGCGCTGCTTCGGCGTGGCATGGTGGAGGCAGGCGAGGGCGGTGAGCTGATGCCGGGAGGCGCCATGTCCAGCCTCCCTCTCTTCCCTGGCGCCCTCCAGAACTTGGCACCCTGGCGCCCTGAGCCACTAGCCTCTATGGGTAAGATGCCCCTGACTCCGCATTATTTAAGTCACACTACTAACAAGCGGGAACTTATAGCCTGGATAGCTCAGTTTGTTAGAACATGATGCTGATAATGCTAAGGTTGCAGGTTCGATCCCCGTATGGGACAGCTGCATATTCCTGCATTGCAGGGGGTTGGACTAGATGATCCTCAGGGTCCCATCCAACTCTATGATTCTATGGTATCTATGAATGCAGCAGCAGTCTCCCCTGTTTGATGCCTAAAATGAGGTTTATTTTTTATATATTTTTTATTCAAAATTATAACAAGACATATTATCCAAAAAATATCATCCTTGTCCCCCCCCCATTTTTCCTCCCTCCCCCCCTCCCACACAAAACCCACCCACCCCCCGACTTCCCTCAGTTCCAGTCTTTGGTTTCTCTAAGAATGCTGTTTTCTGCATGTTACAAAGTTGTATAGATCCTCAAGCTATTTAGCTGATTATTATCAATAAAAAGTTTATGAATGTTTATTCA